AGCTGAGGAGCGATGGGGCAGAAAGCAGGGAAGGTTTCTGGGGGTTGGTCTGACACAGCCACTCCTTGCAGGGGAAGAGGAAATTCCGTTCTCTCCAGCCTCCAGGCCAGCTGGGACTAGCAGCTGATCCCAGTTCAGGGTAGGAGTCACTGGCTTAGGTGTCCCCAAACCTGCAGTGATTCACCTCTCCGCCAGCTGCTCTGGGTGCCTGAAACTATGTACCTGCGCAGATAGGGAGTGGTGTGTAACTGCTCTTGCAGCTTCCCTGTCAGAAAGTCAATTTTCTGGGGGGAAGCAAAGAAATCTGCCAGGGACATGAATTCTATGCAAGTGCAGTGGCTGCTTCTGCAACTTCTCCTACCAGCTGGAATCCCTGACTAGTTCCTCACTGTGATTTCTCACAATCTCACCCAAGGCAAAATGGCAGGAAGGGATGAGAGGCATCACCTGGATCCTACTTCCCCCGCGGTGTGTGTGTGGGGTGGGGTGGGGTGGGGTGGGGGAGGGAATGTGGGGCTTGCTAGGGGAAGTGTAGCCCTGGCTGGACCTTATTTTACCTCCTCCCCTCAGTGCAGCAATCCTGCTTGGGCTGCTGCTTCTACTGGCTTGGGAACCACCACGGGAAGTTGTGTGAGTAATCTACTACTAAAAAATGAAGACTGGTCAAAACAAACAGGAAAAATGTGCAGATCACAACCTATCATCACATTATCTTAATTTATCTTAATCCCCCGTTCTTACATTTTGCTTATTTTGACTGAAAACACACACAAACTGGAACCTCACCAGTGGTTCCACAAAAGTTTCAGAGTTGAGAGATTCCTTTTTGGTTACATATAGCGTAAGACAGCAATCCTTAGTACTGCATGTTTTTTATAGTTAATTTTTGACTTGTTCCTGAATTCCTATTTAGAGCTCTGTAACTGTTCTCACTCATGAAGAACAACTAGGCTACTAAGACGTTAAAATTTCTCTCTTTTTTTAATCACTAGCACTGAGCAAAATCAACAGCTTATTTCACTAAAAGTTCTCATCCTTTTGAAATGATCTAAATAAAATTCCTGTGACGTAGCAGCTATTCTGTATATCTGAAATGAATCTTCACAGAACACTTTCTGCTTGGCATTTTTATAGTTTTTCTAAATAATATTTATTTCCACATCTCCTTCCCAAAGAAGCAGTATTACTTGTTTATTAAAACAAATTCTTACTACACTTTTTAAAATTGTTTTGGACTAGAGAACATACTTACAGTTAAAGAAGAGATGTGCTCCTAAACTCAATTCAGCCTAGCAATTCTTTCTATTCCTATTTTTAGCCTTAATTTTGCTTTGTTTTTTGAGAAATTGGTCATATTAATGAATTATCTTAGTGACATTATATATTGTGCACTAGGTTAATGGGACAAAATCCATGTGGTATGGCATTAGAAAATGAATTGTTCACTCCACTTGGATGACAGAGTGCAAAAGCCTTCCCCTGTGGAAAAAGTTCTCCCAAAAGCAATGATCTTGCAGAAGCACAATATATTCTTCCACTACATCTGACAAATAAATATTGTTTATGAGGTCTTGGAGTATAATGTACATTTAATGCATATATTCCAGGATCACACTTGAAGTCTAACACGTGGTTTGGACTAATACCAGAAAATGTGGGTGCAAGAAAGAAAAAGAAAAGAAATCCCCAGAAGAAGGAGAAATCATGCAAGCTCAATTGTCTTCCCTTTTTCTGAAAGGAAGATTTTTCCAGAACTAAGATTAAGCTCCCTGGAAGACATTTTCTTTTTGTGCTGTACCAAACCTATGGGGGGGAAATATACACGTTTGGCTGTAAATCCATATCCTTTATCCTTCATGTGTGACTATGAGCAGCACTCCCCAGTCTAAAATCTAGGAGAGGGAGCGGGAGAGCACTATTTTTAGTCTGGCAGAAAACTCAAACATTTGAAGGTTAGCAGAAAGAGCAGGACAGAAAATTTTTACTTTATTTTTCACGTTTATTTAATGGTCTAATATTTTGCTCACAAGTTGGAAGATTTGCAACCTCTGAAACTAATCTGACAACCTATAGGAAAAGTTCTCCTAGCTCATCACCCTAATATACTGCAGACTTTTTAGAGAAAAACTTTACAAGCTCCAGACTATTTGGCACCAAATGAATAGAAAAACACAAATCCTTGGTTTGCTTTACTGAGGGACCTCCATGATAAGTGTGTTACACAGGAAACAATTCTCCCGTCCAGAGTTGCTTTGCATCTAGGTTGATTTTCCAGACAGCAATTTCTAGCAGGCCAGCATGTAATGCAGTAACTCAGGAACACTGCGCTAGCTGCCAAGTATGGCTAATACTGGGATACGTTACAAATGTTGAGTAATAACTGGGATTCATAAGGACCCTCCATCATCACCCTCAGCTGTTTTTCTTTTCATATATGGATAGCCATTGTCATCTTGCACAGATTGATTTATTTACTTCCACATGTCCTTTGCAGTTTCATTGCTTCCCTCTTTTCTCTATATTGAAGAGATGAGCTTAAGTCTAGAGGTGAGGATAGCCAATCACTACCCTGAGAGTATCCAAATGTGTGTGCCTGCAATTCATCCAGGTACAAAAAAAAAATGCACCCACAAGATTAGTGGTTGCAAATAGTACCAATAAAAAGGAGAGCAGGGTTATTTTAAATTGTAGGCTACAATTTTATTTCGCTGATTTCCTTTTGATTGGTAATGTTGATTTTATTAAAATTAAAATGGTCAAACAACGAACATTTCAACCTGGGTGTGGGTGAGATGAAGAG